TATATTCAGGTTAGCCGAACAGTTTGCCAAGCACCGTACATTCAGGGCTCTCCGGGTCTATGCAAACCTACATAAAGCATCGAGCTGCTCTGTAGCTCAGGTGTAGGTTAGTTCAGTATGCACAGTGTTCACACAGCGCTTCCGTGTAGATCCACAATAAGTTAATTTGGGCTCATTTGCTGCTCAGTGTGGTAGCTAGCATTTATGAGTGGTGCTTCCTCTAATACGTCCTGCTGGTCATTAACGCAGACCTTCTACCATGAGCGCAGTGTCTCATATGAACAGTCAGCCATAAAACCCCAGGCTCTGTCACTCAGTGTCATTTAAACCAGGGCTGATTGGAACTATCTCTGGCCTTTGCGTTCTCATCCTCCTCCCCGCTTGTGTTCTTTCCTGGTTGGTTCATGAATAATGAATGAGGATATATGCAGGCTGGAGCTCAGATATTAATGGAGCTAAAAAAACAGAAGGAGAACCATCCTTTGTGCTGCCAGCCCTTCCTTCTCTGAGCTGCAGCGAGCTGCCCCTGCCCGGTTGCCCCTTCTCCTTACCTTGCGTTTTCCTTCCTTAGTTTTTCTTTCCTTCTGCTGCCGGTGGGCCGAGATGAGACATCGCTCAGCCTCTGTTTCTCTCTTTAATAGAGTTATTCCCGTCTTTTTTGGCTGTCACTGTGGGGGCAAAAGGTGGACAGTGACTATGAAATGAGACAGGATAACTTTCAAAATGTAAAAAAAAGAAAGTAGACAAAACTGTGGGAGATAAATGAAAAGTTGACTTGGCTTGAAAGTGCAAGGTGGCTATTGTCTGTTAGAGCATCTCTCATTTGTTCAAGGGCACAGCACTGAGCTTCCTCCTTTGTTTGCCCTCATCCTGTCTTTATTCCAGCCTTTCCATGATCTGTTGACTCTGGCCAGAGAGGCCCCTGGCCAAACTGTGGCATGCGAGGGCTCGAGGTTCAGTGCTGTCATGTGGAGGTCAACTGAGTGAACGCTGGTCTCACTGTTATCACCCTGCTCCAGAATTTTACAGCTTTTCTGTAAATAAATTGATCGAAATAAAATGTGATTTATTTTCCAGCAAATCTAAATCGGTTTGTAAAAAGCAAAAAAGCAAATTCAAAAAAGAACCAGCTTGCTGAAGCAGTCCATGTGGCACGAGTAGGCTGGCAGTCAGCAAAGTCTGGCCCCAGGCTGGCAGAGTCGCTGCCCATCCTTGGATGACTTGCCCAATAAGGCCAGAGGGCACAGATAATGGGCAGAGTCTTCTAACCCTTTATTTGTGCCAGAATGTCTCCACGTTCAACAATGTCAAATCCACACCTTATAAGGTCACACAGAGTCACAATTCTGTGGTCCAGAAAGCTGTGAATTGGCTGTGGATGGAGGGGCGTGGTATTCAGGCCAGACCGAGTGTCCTTGACCTCGGCATCGCAGTCAGAACCTGGTTTATTTAAAAAAATGAACTTTTGGCACCCGAGAGAAACAATCAGACAGTTTAAACATGAATGCAGCTCATTCGGTAGAATCAAAACAGCTTTAAAAGCACAACTTTTTGGGATCAGACCTTTAAAAACAGCGGTCAGTGGATTCAGTCACTCATCACTATAATCGCGTTTTCTCACAGGCACTACTTTTTTGCACAGTTTTAACTTTGCACAACTTGTTAATAGGACTTGCAAGTTGGCAGCACTGTTTTGCTGTCCACATACTCCAAAGACTCATATAAAATATATTTCTACCACGCAGCAAGGTTTTGATCTCGGAAGGGAAGCAGAGTGTCAGTGAAATACCGCTGAAAAGAAGTATAGTTCAAAAAGTTTAAAATTTAACTTTCTGTGCTCGCTCGGGTGAGCGTTTCAGCTAATTACGCACAAATCCCTCACGCTCACAGCTCCAATCCACCGGCACCGCTGTCTCGGCAGAGGACAAAGAAAACAAAGGAGACTGACAAACAAACAGTGAGTGAAAAAAATATAAAAGAGAGGAAGCTTTCTTTCCATATAGCAGCTGAGCTGAGGCGACAGTGGCGTTTAATCAGTTGGTATTTGCAGCGCCGTCAGCGCGAGCAGCCTCGGCGGTGCAGCCCTCTGATCAGTGCTGGGAGAGGAGCTCCCCACCGAGCCGCCGCCGCCCCTGAACCACAGGTCAGTCCTTGGTGAGTAGGTTTCATTCGGCTGTCGCCTTCACAGTACCATCTCCTTCTCTCATTAAGATACAGTGCGTGTCTGTGTGTACATGTGCACATGCATGTATTTATGGGCTCGTGTTTGTTTCTGTGTGTGGAGTGAATGCACCCCAGGACTAGCCTAAAGGGGATGTGAATTCCTGGCCTCCGCTGAGATACGGCAGCGCAGCTAGGATTTCTACCAGTGGGGGGGTTGTGTGGGTGTGTGTGTGCGTGCGCAAGTGTAAATGTGAGTTAGAGAGAGATGCAAGACGCATCAAGTGACTCGGTGCCTCGGGGTCAGACACACATACATGCAGAGAAGGAGCTGGTGCTGCGGCGGGGTAAACAAGAGCAGGCTGTTAGATCTCATCAGCCTCATCACACGCTTTATTATGCTGATTTGGGAGTATACTGTAAGCTAATCAGGAATCCGGGCGTCACGGGGGGCGCTCAGCTTAAAGGTTAGGCATATATGGAGAGAGGAAAACTAAACTCCAACTTTATCTGCTTACTTCCACCTTTCTTTTTCTTGTTTTGAAATCGCAAAACTGGAGTATCGTGGCACAGGAAAAAGTTGGAGCTGGAAGGTTGGCACCTTTCACCCGGGTTTAAAGGGTGCGCTTCATGTTTCACAGGTGTGGGGTGATTGGCACCAGAGAGTTGATGTGGACCGGGGATTTCGACTTGAAGTCAGGACTCTGCCTGTCTGTTGCTATATGCTAATATTGGCCTTTAGACAAATTCACAAAACAGCCTCCCAGGCTCATGTTTGTTCACTTGCATAAATGCATATGATTCTTATTCTGCACCGATTTACACCCCAACACGACATTGCAATGTTACAAAGTTCAGACGTCTATTAATTCTGACGCATCTGAAAAATATTTCCGCATTTATTCGATTTTAAAACATTAAAAAGTGACCCCTGGCTTTGAAGATGCGACTTTTTAATTATTTTCGTTAATGAATTTTTTTGACAAGACATCACTCATTTTAACCTTTTCCAAAAGGTGGATGTGAAAGAAAATACCGTTTTAATTTGGCTCTCTCTCGGTGACAGCCCATTAAACAAGCATGGAAGAGGAACACACGCTCACATGGAAATGTGGCAGATTAGCAAGTTAGAAAACAAGCGGCAAATGAGCAGGAATGCTGGTGAGAAGCGGGAGCGCTTCTTCCTCTGGTGACACATCAGAAACAAGAGTATTAATTAAGAGTTAAATGCAAAGATGGACTGGAACAGGCAAACAGCCACAGGCAGGGCTGTCACCACCGTCACCCAGTGTGAGCGTTAAAAATATAGGAACATTAAATAATAGAAAAACAGTGAGAGAGGTACGAGTATTGGATACGTCGACATTAAAAACAAGTCTAACTGAACATCAGACATGTAAACAATCACATCACTGCTGCACAGTAAGGCAGGAACAGTCGCTGCTGCTGACTGAGAAAATTCATTAGCCCTGAAACTCAAACAGCTACACTCACACTAAATAAAATACATGCTGCGTTTTTTCATTACTGTGTCACCCTCTGCCAATTATAAATCCACTGACCTTCAAAAACCTTTTCCCTCTGGATCGGAGCTGCTTCACCAAAAAAGGTTCCACTTATATCTGGTTACTGTGCATCCAGGAAGTCTTCACAGCATTTCATCACACAGCCTTGCTCTAAAATGCTGCATACAATATCCCATAATAACAAATTTAGTAATAAATATACCATGTGCAAAGTGGCCAGGAGGCCAGTACATGGGATTGGACCCAAAGCAGACTTAACGACAGGAAGATTTTAACAAAGCTTTACTGAGCACAGTGATATGAGATGGGAGACATGGGGAACGCTGGGAGGTCCTCTGACGTGGAGACACTGAAACAGACGGAGAGGGTGGATAAATCCAGAGAGGAACCGAGGTTGACCGAAGGTGAGAATGAGTTTAATAGTTAAGGGATTACTCGCAGGTTGAAGGCAAGAGGTTTTCGGGGAGGGTAGCCGAGCGAACGTCTGGCTGAAGAGCAGGGCTTGTGAGGTTCTGACTTTATCGTTCCAGTGATCCAGAGGTGACAGCGAGCAGGTGGGACTGGTGAGTAGTTACGCTTCCAAGGAATGAGTTTGCAGGCTGGCTCTGTGAGTTCTAACAGGAGCGAGCAGCATCCGGTTGATTGCACTGCAGGTGAGTTGAAGCCGAGTCTTAGCAAGAAAAATGGAGGCACAAAGAGAAGAAGGTAAAGTAGAAGGAAAAACACCAGACACTCATTAGGATAATGACAATAAGTATTCATAGCTTACGCCCAGCCTGTTTCCACTGATCATCTGTCAGATGTTTCTACAACTTGATTGGAGTCTACCTGTGGTAAGTTCAGTTGATTGGGCATGATTTGGAAACGCACACACCTGTCTGACACCCGTCTATATCCACAGCTGACAGAGCATGTCAGAGCACAAACCAAACCATGTCCAAGGAATTGTTTGTAGACCTCTGAGACTGGATTGTGTTGAGGCACAGGTCTTGGGAAGGTTACAGAAAGATTCCTGGACCACTGAACGTGCCAATGACCAATGGCTTCATCCCTGCCTCTGATTCTGCATTTGGTTCCAGGTTAGACAATGATAACAGTTCACACCTTATTATCAAGCTCTAATGTTCAGGTTCAGTAAGTTCATTGAGATGCAGTGAAAAGGTCGTTAGTCACTGAATGAAATCTCATATTATAATAAGGGTAACTTGAATAAAGTAATTGGTTTTTAACAAATTTGTTTGCCTCCTGTAGCAAAACTCAAAAACTCAAAATGTCCTTTTGGGTTTTCTTTTGGTTTTTGCAGAAACCTGTAAATCCAGCACTTTGGACCAGACTTAGACATTAATGCAACCTGCTGTTGTTGCATTAATGCTCAGGTAACTGACTGGAGCTAGCTCTGAAGATCTGAAAGGATGAGTGATAACGTCGTATCAGCTGAGTCATCAGTCACACGAACTTGAATATGAGAAGTTCGTGTTCAGCTCATGGTGTGATAGGTAAGGACATTAAGTTACATTAGCTGTTGCCTTGCTCAGTTTATGATGAATGTGTGTATTTGCTATAATGCTGCAAACAGATGCAATGATTAAAACTAATTTTATCTGATTTAATATGTACAACAACCTTATGATGAGATTATTGTTACTTAGTTATCAACCTAACTAAGTAAGATAAATGTAACTAGGAATACAAAAAAGGTATGAAAGAAGAAACAGCCGCCCCGTGCGTCCGTTCATATGATCTATTTTGAAGTTTGGGCAGAACCTGAATAAATCATGTTAAACTTAAGAGTAACAAAGTCACTAAAGCAGCAAGTGGAAACATTACGATTCAAAATGAAACACTGAACAAAGTGATTAGGAACAACAACCCAACAAACGTCAGGACGCTTTGCTGATTCAAAACATCAGACATAAAACAACAATCAGACCACACACGGTGCTCCAAAACTATATACGTATAAATATGGAATAATATTAAAATAATATCCAAAATCATTAAACAAAACACTAATAACTAAATAACTAATAAAAAATAAAATCAGTAGGGGGCATCAAAACACAACAGGAACACAATGACAAAAAGAAAATGCAAAAGAAGAACACAGGACAGCAAAAACCTGAATGTAGGTAATGAAACGACAGGACAGGATAAGAAAGAAAAAATACAAACAAGACAGAAAAGAAAATATAGAAGAAGGTCAGAGAGGAAACGATGAAAAACTAACATTAGGACAAAAAAGAAAGTGACAAAGAGGAAGAACCAAAAACAGGGAAGACGACGTGTTAGGACAGCAAAAATATGTTTGATACAGAAGAAATTCATGAAATACATAAGACATTACTTAAAGGGCCTTAAGATGGAAAAATACGGGAAACAATTAAGACAAGCTGAGGAGGAAGAGACGGGATCAGAGAGAGCAATCATGATGATGGGAAACAACCAAAGAGGAAACACTGAATTAAAACGAAGAAGACACACGAGCAACAGAGAGAGGACAAAACAGGAGAAATTATGGAGACGCACAGCAAAGCAAACCCCAACAGTTAAACACGTTTAATGCAGTGGCCAGAAACCCGTGTGATGACCTGCCAGCTGACAGCATGACCTCGCTGTGGAGCTCCTCTCTGCCAATCCTATAAAAGGTACTATTTTATTTTTGTTCGTGTGCTCATGTATGCGCACAAAAAACAAAAGAGAAAGCATTTTGGAAAGCTTGCACACACACACACACTGCTCACCTGGAGGTGGTGGGTGGGAGTGGGAGGATGGGGTCTGTGTTTAGCTGTGGGCCCTGCAGACAGGCCGATCAAAGGCTCCTCAGTCTTTGTCTGCTAACGTTGAATAGACAATAGTAAAGAGGGCTCGCTTTGATTTCAGCTCACTTTTATTGATCACAGAAGAGCAGGGATTGAAATATGAGAGACAACCCTGAACTGGATTCTTCTTTAGCTATTGATTATATCCAGAACAGACGGCATTTCACGGTGATCCAAGTTTTTATTTTATCCCCTTTTTCTTTCTTTCTTTTGAACCATGAAAACGTGTGTCTGGCTCCTTGCCTGTCTTTCAGGTGCATCTTGTGATACATTTTTTTACCAGACAATGCCTTGTCTTAAGTCTCATTTTCTAACTATTTCTCAAAGTTGACATTCAACCCTTAACTAGGATGTGCTGACAGAGCCTCAGACTCCCTGTGTGCTCTCTCATCCATCCTAACTGCCTTCTTAGCAACCTTTAAACTGCAGTTTTAGGCAGAAGCTTTGTTTCCATAACTTCAGAGGCGGTACAGTCGGTGTACACAGGAGGCAGGGAACCAAGCACAGGGGGTGGAAGAGCTGGCTGCTGCACAGAAAGGACCGTGGGAACATGGAAACACAGCATGGCCAGGTACATCAACCCCTCCCTTTTTCCTTTTAACAGCACACAGTCATGTGGAGCTCTTGTCCCTTGCGTGTAGGACCTAAACACATCTTAGCTTTGTCAAAAACACTCCTGAGAAGCAGACTGCGTGCCCTAAATCTGAGACCACCAATCATTTTACTGTCCCAGTCGTTACTGTTATGAGGCGAGATACAGAAATGTCTGTAAGCTCAAGTTGTGTGCACGTGCGTGTTGGCTTTAATTTTGCTTTGTTGGTAATAAAAGCAGTTCACTACCACAGTAATGAGAGGGGAAGTGCAGTATTATAAAATGCTGCATGAGTTATAGGTCTGAACAGTTATAATGTGACAGATGACTTTACAGAGAGCAACTCAACTTTGATCTTTTGTTCAGAAACAGATTTAAGCAACCACCTGTTTTTAAGTAAAGTGCTTAAAGGTCTTATGATAAGATAAGATATTAGTCTTTATTATTAAGCAGCAAAACTTTCCTTTTTCAAACAGACTCTTCAGGGCTGTCTAAGTTGAGCTGACAGATTTGATTAGTGGAGGACAGCTAATATTTTGGCTAGAGTAGTTATTTTATCGGGGCTGAGCACATGTGCATGTGGCCACTATTTGGAAGAATGGCATACAATTAAATATTGGAGACGTAGGAAAACATAAAGCCTGTGAGCTGATCACTGCAGGCCCTGACATGATTCAGACCTACTGGCTAAAGAAGCTAACTGTAGAGTCCCAAGAGGCCAAAGGCCTGTACCAAAACTGGGCTCAGGTGCTGAACCAAGTGTGGAGACGGCTGTTAGCTTCACACAAGCTTTCTTCATTTTTGCACCGAAACATAAATGGCGTGGGAAACGTGACAGCGTGGACACAAAACACAGCAATGAGACAGACGTGAGATTCATGTTTAAGGAATCTAGCATGGAGGTCTAAGGCAAGCACAAGGCGAGGCTGGTGCAAGATGCTAGCAGGCAAGGCATACATGGAACGCCATAACCAAGTGGCCGGCATAGTGTACAGGAACATCTGTGCAGAGTATAACCTGGAAGTCCCGAGGTCACAATGGGAGATGCCCCCAAGGGTGGTGGAGAACGACCGAGCTAAGATCCTGTGGGACTTCCAGATACAGACGGACAAAATGGTGGTGGCTAACCAACCGGACATAGTGGTGGTAGACAAACAGAAGAAGACGGCCGTAGTGATCGATGTAGCGGTTCCGAATGACAGCAATATCAGGAAGAAGAAACACGAGAAGCTGGAGAAATACCAAGGGCTCAGAGAAGAGCTCGAGAGGATGTGGAGGGTGAAGGTAACGGTGGTCCCCGTGGTAATCGGAGCACTAGGTGCGGTGACTCCCAAGCTAGGCGAGTGGCTCCAGCAGATCCCGGGAACAACATCGGAGATCTCTGTCCAGAAGAGCGCAGTCCTGGGAACAGCTAAGATACTGCGCAGGACCCTCAAGCTCCCAGGCCTCTGGTAGAGGACCCGAGCTGGAAGATTGAAGACCGCCTGCAGGGGCGAGTGGGGATTAAAAATAAGGATATCTATCTACTTAAATATCTACTTAAAAAATATTTTACATATTCTTGATTTCTCTCATGTTTACATTTGCTTTGAGTATTTAGTGTCTTAGGTCTCATTCTTAGTTCACAGTTGGTTTTGTTTTATTGATCATTGTTTCTTCCTCCTCCACCAAATTCTCTCTGTTTAGTTTATTCGTGTGTTTGTAGTATTCATGTTTAGTTTTTGCACTTCTGCTTAATTTGTTTGTTTGTTGTTTGCTTTTAGCTTTGCTTCATGATCTTCACGACTCCCCTTGTGGCATTTCATCATCTCCATGTGTTGCCCAGCTCCAGTGCTACATTAGCAGTTCTGTATTTCCTCATTAGGTCCCCTCCTCCACACAAACATGCAGAGCGTGATTTCTACTTCCTATTTGACACCAATAAGTAACCATAGAGGAAGTAAGTCTTTAAAAATCGATAGCCGTGTGTGTGTGTGTGTGTGTGTGTGTGTGTGTGTGTGTGTGTGTGTGTGTGTGTGTGTGTGTGTGCGCGAGCGAGTTTGTGTGCATTTTCTACATCTTACACACCCCTTACCACCTATAAATTGTCCCTCTGGTTTCTTTTGACCATGTTTAAAATTTTTGAGTTTAAGTTAAGCTTCTGAGTTTTGCTCAGTGGTTTTTTATAACCCTCCTGTAGAGCAGCTGGATGGGCGATAGAGATGCAATGCATGCCTTTCAGGACCCCCCGTTGAGTTTAGTGGGTCACTTGGCTTATTATTTTGGCTCAGCTAACTCCAGGCTGCCTGGGCCTCCTCTGTGCTGGCTTGATGGATGCATGTTTACAGACGTGCAAAAGTCGTTCTAAATATGAATGAAACCTGTGTAAAGTTACTGAAGTTCAAACGTATTTTTAAAATGAGGAACATGACTGTGCTGCTGTTGCTGCCTGTGAGACCATCTTGTGATTTTTCTCCTCTTAAAAGTCGCCAAACATGCACAAAAAATATTGATAATCCAGACTTTAAAAAAACTATTTGGGCTGCGTTCAGCCCAAATCAGTGCCCACCAAACAGCAACATATTTCTGCAAACAGGGCTCACTTGCAAACAATGTAAGATTATTATATTTTTATAACTACTTTCTATAATAAACATGATGCATACAAACCTGAATATAAAATACTATGAAAACGTGATGTGTTATATGTTTTAGTTAATGTGTGTAATCCTTCCTGTTTTTCTGAATCTTATAATAAACAAGGTCATGATCTGCACGCTCACAGGAACCGAAGCCTTTTAGAGCAGGTTTGACAGCAGTACTTCCTCTGTCATCTCTGCAGTAATATTTCATTATACAAATTCTGAAAAACAAGTCGTCAGATGAATGTAAAGGTTTGAGTTTGTGTTTTACTAATTAATGTTCTAATAATCTAATGGTAGATTAAATACATTTCCTGCAGGTGTTATCATTGTGTTTTCTTGCAGGACTCTTTGATGACTCGTTGGTTTCTCTAAGGCCTTTTGGTCTTTTAGGCCCACTCATATGTTTCTAAATGAGTCACTAGTTGAAGTGTAGTAAGAACTTTTCACCACAAGATGGACTTAAGGATGCATGGATTTGGGATGTATGGCAAACAGCTAGGATACAAACTGAATACTTTTCCAGTCACTACACCTGAACTGCAGAGCCACGTTCTATCAACCCATATATTTTGAAGCAAAAGTCTCCTTGAGGCTGGAATCACAGGTGAAAAAGAAATAACCAAATAACTTGCAGGTTGTGCAAAGTGCTGCAGCGAGGCTTTTGACAAAATCCTCCAAGTACTCACATGTCACACCGTTGTTATCTCAGTTACACTGGCTTCCTGTTAAATTTAGAGTCAATTTTAAGATCCTGGTCTTGACCTACAGAGCTGTGCACGGTCTGGCACCAGCCTACATCTTTGATCTGCTACAGCCTGATGTCCCCAGCAGGTCTTTGAGGTCATCTGATCAGGGCTTACTTGCTATAAAAAATACTAAGAGGAAGACTAAGGGTGATAGAGTTTTTGCCACTGTGGCCCCGAGACTGTGGAACTCTCTCCCCCAAACATTAAGAACTGTGGACTCAGCAGCTGTTTTTAAAAAACAACTCAAAACTCATCTTTTTAAAACTGCTTTTGGTTAAAGTTTTTCCTGTTTTATTTTCTTTTTAAATCTTTTTATGACTTGTAATCTTATGTACAGCACTTTGTGATTCTGTCTTGAAAGGTGCTATAGAAATAAAAAATTATTTATTTATTTATATTAATTCCATATATTTACTTTTGTGTGTTTTTACTGTGTTCAGGGCTCCATGGGAGAAATCTCTGGAGTTTATTACACGGAGAAGGCCAGTGCCCATCCCCACTGCTCCCTGGCCAGTCCTGTACATCCCAGTTTGATGGGTGGAATAGAGGGAACCTATATAACCTATGAGGGGTGGGAGGGAGGTAGAAATGGGATGCAAGGAGGAAAGAGACCATAAACACTCTGCTAAGCTAATAAGCTCAAGCACAGCAAACATTAACATAGTGGCAGAAAAGAAGAAAGTGGCCTCTGGAACAAGTGACACAATATTTTACCTGTGAGGAAAAAAGAGAACGTGTAATTTGTAAATGGTGACCAGGCCGTGCTTTGGGAGTTTTTGTAAAGCTAAAGTTCGGTGCAAAATATCATGAAAGGACACAAAACCTGCCATCTACAATCCAGTTTTGAGATCCTCCCCAGACGCCTTAACGCCACTCACATCCTGGGCCATCTGACCTCAGGAAATCACATGATAAGGTGGGGCCAGGTTTCACAATGAGCTCACCTGAAACTCTGGCTGATTGGGACCCACGCCCAGTTTCCCACCTTGGCTCATGTGATTAGAGGATCATCAGGGGTCCTTTTGCCCCTCTGTGGGGGGAAACTCCCACTGGGTTTAAATCTGGGACTCTCCACCATTTGACCTTAGAACTGAAGAAGCTTCTCGGATGAGAGGTGAAACGTCTTCAAGTAACTTAAAGAAGTCCAGACGCTTTTCTTTGCAAGCTCCTTTGACTACGATGACCTGGATGACTGAGAACCTTCACATAGACACAAACCCTTTGTTAACTGCTACTACTTACTGGCATTTGTTTCAAAGCCTAATATGGCAAAATAGTGGTTTTGTTTTTTCACCCTCCATACTAAGAGGAAATAAAGCATCTTTGTGGTGTGTGAATAATTTTCAGTGGTTTCCACACATTTGTACATCAACTGCTGAACATGACAGACCTCTGCAGCCCCACGACCCTGCTGTTCTGGGCTGGGATCATTGCTTTGACCAGCTGTAAGTAAATTTTCATTATTTCAAATTCAGACCTGATGCAGAATGTTGTAGAGGAAGAAAAGAGATGCTTTTCATAATGTTTTAACAGTTAATGTTGAGTAGTTGCCTTATTCTTCATTCGTCAACATTCGCCATCCTTCCCATTTGCATAGTTTATCTAAAAAAATATTTTACAGTATAATATGGCTAAAACACACACACACACCGTTATATATATAACTGTAATCATCTGCAAGCCTCGGAGAAAACATGAATACCTAAATATTTTATATTTCCAGCACTGGGGTAGAGGAAGAATTATAGAAGCAGCAATTCATCAGAAAACTGTGGATTTTAACAGTTTATCAAATAATCTGAAACTTGAGAAAGCTTCTTCAGTGAGGGTGGTTTGTGAATGCTGGAGAAAAAGTAACATGTTATCCGCATAAATGGGAAATAGCCTGTATTTGTAAAGCACTTTACTTGGTCCCTATGGACCCCAAAGCGCTTTACACTACATTCAGTCATCCACACATTCACAGCCACCCTGGGGCGCACTGACAGAGGCGAAGCTGCCGGACACTGGCGCCACCGGGCCCTCTGACCACCACCAGTAGGCAACGGGTGAAGTGTCTTGCCCAAGGACACAACGACCGAGACTGTCCAAGCCGGGTTTGAACCGGTAACCTTCCGATTACAATACGAACTGCCAACCCTTGAGCCACGATCGCCCCATGAAGATGATTTCATGTTCCACATTGTTCCATTTTACGCCCTTACAGGGACGGATCTCGGGAAATTTTCTTAGGGTGGCAAAGGAATCAAATGGGGGGGCACAATCAAAGCGTATTTTTCCAAACATATGCAGGTGGTTACATATGGTTAAAATGTTTCAAATGCAGTAAGTACACACGTTTTTCATATAAATATAGTCTGTAACTTAATTATTTTCTGTAGCCCACATAGTTAAACACTTTACTTACATAAAACAGTTTTGATGTTATGTACTGTACAGCCTGTATAATAAATAAATATGCAGCCCAATAAGTATAAAATCCAGAAAACTACACAACATGGGGCGCTTCATTTACAAACACAGATCTAACTTAAGTTTCACACTTTTTGTTAGAAAATAATCAAATTGTTAAATGTTTAAATTACACAAAATGTCAGAAATCTGCACCGTCATGAACAAAAACTGAAACCTAATTTTTCACGATTTGTTAGATTAACCCTCTGAGGTCCAAAATATAACCGGTCATCTTTGACTCCTTTTGATTTTAAGTTTGTATTTCACCCTCAAGTTGTTTCATTTTATTTTTTCCTGCCTTGTTTGGCATCATTCCTTTCAGCTCAACCTCACGTGTCTGAGTTCAGTTGATTTTTCATTGACATACTGTATTAATATTACTGATCTGAAATCACACAAAAAACTTAAAATCCTAGTAGTAGTTTTCTTACTGTAAAAAAAAAAAACACAGACATGTTGAGTAATTTTTTTTTATACCTGCAAATATAGTTGTACATTTTGAAAACTTATGCACGCATTTTGTAAATATATACAACTATTTATCTAAAAATGCAGCCAATACACCTGCTGTCCTTTATTTTGTGCAACCATTTAAAAATATTACTAAAACTAAAATGAGAGAACAATCAGGTGTCCAATAAGATGCCGCACAAATGATGTGTGTCAGTAAGAAAAGAAAAGTTTGTCCACCAGAAGACAGAGGAGAAGAGGCAGGGATAAACCTGCAGGCCTGACAGCAGGTGTATCACTCCGCTGGGTTTCTACCTGGTGACAGTGTTTACAATGCAATGTGCCTTTGTGACATTCATTAGCAGATGGGCAGTAACGCATCGCAAGTAACGTGTTACTGTAATCCGATTACTTTTTTCAAGTAACGAGTAAAGTAAGGGATTACTATTGCAAAAAAGGTACTTAGATTACCGTTACTTTCTCGTAAGCATGCTGCGTTACTAAAACCGCGACGTTGGTGACAGCAGCTGTCTGCAGATCAACAGTGGATCATATATCGAGTGCAGAGAGAGTGTGAGTGTGCAGCGTTTACAGCGTGGAAGTACTGACCTTACTTTGAGTTTGATTCCATACAAAGTGACAAAAACATTAGTGTCCGCTGTGCGTGGGAAGAAAACTTCTTTTTACA